TTCCACATTGATTTGTCTCAAAGGTTTCAGTGAAAATCATCAGGCAGGGAGTCACTGGCTCCAAGAGGCTCCTGATGCATATGCTGCACAGCCCTCAGAGATTACGAAAGCAGAAAGGAGAAAAAAAGAACAGCTTTGCTTGCAAAGTTTCCTTTGTGGGTAAGAGGGAGGAGAAAAAAAAAGAAATCTAAAAGAACTGAGAAGTTAAGAGAAGAGGTTTTGATTAATTGGAAACAAAAAAGGAAAGACTACTGCTACAGGGGAATAGTGAGACTGTTCACAACATAGTGAAGCAATTAAATAACTTGACTGACAACTTTGGAAGTTCCTCATCCTAGAAATAGGAAAGGATTTAGAGACAGCTGTATTAATTCTCAGGTATTTCAAATGAGACTTAAGGCATGCCACAAGCATTAGTTAAACACCCTAGGCCTTGCTCTGAAGTACTGTACATATAATCCTTGTTGTGTTTTAAGTACCCACAGCATTAAATTATTCAGAGAGTCCAGTCAGCACCATGATCCTGCAGTGCTGTGCAAACAAACAAAACATTTTATCTCCAATACAAATTGGGCAGAGTTCTTCTGCAGCAGCTTAGCAGACTACTTGCATTTGAGCCAGCCCCCAGGGTTAATCAAAAAGCCATATTCACTCAAAGAGGGAACTGAATGCTGCCCTGTTACTTAAAGAGCTGTTTTCCTTCTTAAACTAAAACTTTAAGGAGTTTTACTGAAAACCTAAGGTGTCTAGAAGTTAAGTACCTTGTTCAAAGTCATTAAAAGAAAGGTCAAGACAAAAATGTAGAACAGGACCCAGGTACTTAATTCTAAGTCCCTCTTGAAAACAGTGCACCACTTCAAGGAGAAAAAAAAAAAGACCAAATAAAATACCCAAACCACACAAAAAAGACCCCAACAGTAAGTTTTAATCTGCACCCTGCCCCATAAATGGTAAAGCAACTGGCCCCAGCAGCTGTCAGCAAGTTCCCTATCAAAGGTTAATTCTAGTCCACACTCTCTTCAGGAATGTGCACTGTATAATAAGACTGAAGTGCTTCATAGCAATACTGCCAATAATAAAAGTCAGTGAGGGAAAATCATAAAGAACTGATTAAATGACAAGCAATGTTCAGCACAATCAAAATGAAATCATTTCAAAATACAGCTATTGGGCTTGGATTTATGGTCTACAAGTGGGAAGGTTAAAGGAGAATGTTCCAGCAGTGCTGAAGACAACAGTACAAGAGAGAAGTCAAACTACTGATATGTTAAGGGCACAGGACAGCTCAAGATCTTACTGCAAATACTAATTTTAAAAAAAAAAAAAAAAAAAAAAAGTATTCTATCTTCTACCTGAAGGAGAACACTGACACAAAAGAGATGGATGAGCAGCTCACACTCAGTATTGGCCTCATGTGCTGGGGCTAAAAAACAGAAAAGCAAGAAACACTCAAGCCCTATTCCTAATAAAGGGAGATAACAACACTGGAAGATAAAGGACAGATGTGATTTGAGTAGGATTGAGTCAACACAATAAGGTCACCATGCCCAAAAGGAAACAGTAGCTGAGATAAAGCAAGTCTGATAGGGATCCCAATAATTTAAAAGTCTGGCCAGAACAGTTCCTGCTTAGGAAGACATCTAGAAGCTGACAGACAATAGCTTTGACCTCATCTTTGCAAGGACAAACTAGACCATTCCACTTTTTAAGGATCTTATATTTATGACTGATCAAGAGATAGTTAAAGAGCAATGAAATTTAACAGTTTTTCATTCTTGCACCACGTTCTGGACTAATACACCATGGTCACTATTTATCACAAGGAGAGCCTGATCAGATTTTTGCAGAGCATCAAGTATGTAATATCTGGGTATGTGACATTACACAACTAAAAGTTAATTCAGGTAATAGAACAGCTTTTCTATGTCAGCAGTCAGGTCCCAACTCATTTTAGAGGTGCCCTCTTTATAGTTCACAAATATTGTTTGACTCTGACAGTCACGTCTCCAGGATTACTCTACACATCACTGCAGGAGGGCAGGGCTCTGCTTCAAGCCAGGCCACATCTTCACCTTGGATAATAAATCCACCAGCTTCTTCCCTCCTCTCTTACAGAAGTCAGTTAATTGCATTCATAAAGAGAATATTCTCTTTCTAATGGAAAGAGCTCACACTGCCTCTGCTGACCCAGATGTCCCATGCAGAGAAGCAGCAGTCACCTGCCTCAGACATCACTATTCCAAAACTCAGCAAGCATGCAACACCCCATGGTCAGGATATAACCTGCCAAGAGGAAATTTCCTATGACACAGCAGCCATTCACAAGCCATATCCATCTAGGAGAACAACCACTGACCTATCAATCCAATCACAGAGAAACTTTATCATGGAGTCAAAATGCAGAGTTGGGTCGAAAATGGACCAATTCACAGAAGACAATTTCCTTATGGGCTGTTAACCACCAAGGTGAAAATATAACCTCTTGCTGACAAAGCCTCAAGTCCCAGCAAGAGTACAGAGGTAGGAAATACTGCTAAACACCTGCTCTGTTCTCATGCTCTCCATAAGCAGCTGCCAGGGATCACTATCAGAGATAGCCTATAGCTAGAAAGACCTTTTCTCTGAATCACTATAGCCGTTCTCAAACGGCTATAGTGATAAATAAATTTTATTTATTCAGACCTCAAAAATACCTTTATATTATAACCTCAAAATGCTTCACAGCCACGTCATGTGCCTGGGTAAGCCATGCTTCTTAGCATTCAACAGAGAAAAAAAAACATGCTCATAGAAGGATTCTTCATTTAAATCAAGCACAGATTAAGATACAGATCAGTAACATGAAAGAACCACAATAATGGCCATTATTACTCCAGCCTGTCCTCTCCCTAAACCCTCCTTTCAGTATGTACCAGGCAGGGAGAAATACTCTTAGTCTAGTTCTCTCAAAGTTTCAACATCACACTCTAAAATGAACAGGCAGTTTGATCCCACTAGGGCAAGCATGATCCCCCACCTCACTGTACACCCCAGCACCTCATACCACTGCAGGTCAGGAAAAAGTGGCAGTTTCAGTCAGACTCTGCACTGTTTACAGGCAGTACAACATTGCCATAGTAATGTTAGGACGCAAAACAAAACAGTATAGTATCATGTGAATATTAAGCACCAATGACAATCCCACTATATTGTAGTGATTGATAGAAACCTTTTGCTCTACTCAGCCTTGTCTCACTGTACTTCTGTCTCCAGCACTGCTCTTCTCAGCACTGTTAAGACAACGATGCAACAGGGCATCTCAGCAACACCAACTTTCCTGACTAATAGTAAAACCTGTAGCAAGAAGTGCCTCAAACCAAGTCTGTCTGCTGGGCAAGAACAGATTGGTTTGTGAGTTTGAGTGGTGTATACACAAATGGTTTATGCTTCCTGGTCCCTAAAAATCAATCTTAGTCCTGCTTCAAAATCTCACAGTACTTGACAGTTTTATAACAGTTCTTCTATTACCAGCATCATAAAAGACTCAAAAAACAGAACACATTATTACTTTTTTATTAATTTGTGTATATGTACAATTATACTAAAAAAAAAAAAAAACCAGAGCAAAGTTTCAGGATACATATGAGGTCAGCAGAATGTGATCCTGTATGTAATTGAAACATTCATTTCATACACTTGAGAGTTCACAAGAGTTCTCTGGCTCAGACAATGACCCCATATACACTACACTGCCCTGCCACAGGTAAAGCTGTCCTCAGCACATACATTGCTTATGCCTTCCCCTGCAAGCTTGGCCTTAGCAGCACTGCATGACATGCTGCAAGTTGAGCTTGCAGATACAGTGTGAGCCAAGCACTAAGTGAAGAGTGGAGGTGAGGAGTGTTCCATCCTAAATCAAAGTTTCTAAGCTCATCACACAAGTGACATGTAACGAATCCCTTCAAGCAGAGCTATTTTTGCTTGTCCTGCATGGAAACATAGTGGGGGGTTTTGTTACTCACCAGCTGGGCTGCTCTCTGCCTCTCCTCATTAGTGTTGTTCCTCTCCCGCTGAAGAGCAGTATTCAAGGCCTCACTGGCTGCTTCCCTTTCTCTTTTGGCCAACCGGAACAGTTCCTCTTGGACCAGTGCCTGTTCTTGCTCATACCTGTATGAGCATCAAAGGCAGAGAGAAGTGGAATTCTGGGAGCAGGATGATGGCTTAGCACAGACTACCCCTGCCCAGAGCTGGAACACAAATCCATAACCTATTTGACACAAAGTCTGCTCACAATCCCTCCATTATCAGCAGAAATTCAAAAGTCTACAAACTTTCAACATGACCTGCAGCTCCGGTGAGGTACAACTCTGGCAACAACAATAGACATAGCACCATATAATCTCATACTTCAGTTATATTTAGCTCTGCTAAGTACTCAATTATCACCTGCAAATAGTGAGAAAAGGAAGTAGTTAGCTAGGTAAATAAATGCTGCTTTGGAAGAGATCAAGGGACATACAAACAATGAAAGGAGTCAGCCTATCCCACAGTGCTGCTCTTCTGCTCTACAAGGCAAAGAAAATCACATAAAATGCCCGCAGCAACAGCACAGGAGCAGCTTTGTCGTGTCCATAGCCTGAACACATGAATCTGACAGCCACAAAGGAAACGTTGCCCAGTTCTGGCCTTGGAAATTCTACATGCAAGCAAAGAGAGATGAACATGAAGCAAGCCATAGAACAAATAAGGTTAGACAGGACCTTTGAAGGTTATCTATTCCAGCCTCCTGCTCAAGAAAGGACTAACTTCAAGGTCAGATCAGGTTGGTCCAGCCTTTCTCCAGTAAACCTGAGCAATCTCTAAGGGTGAAGATTGTTTTCTTTTTGGTGCAATCTGTTCCAGTGCTTCACTGCACTTACTGACTGTTTACGGTTTCCTCCCACCTCACTCCCAACACCCAGCCAGAGTTTCCTTGCCATGATCTACAGCCCTTGCCACTTGTCCTTTCAGTGTGCACCTCTGAAAATAGTCTGGTACTGTGTCTCTATTTTACTATTTAAGAAGTTGAAAACAACAATTAGATGCCCCTTTTTGTTGGGCTAAGCCAAGACAGTTCCCTCAGCCACCCTTCCCCAACGCCTCTAGCTTACCCAGGTCTCTGAGTGATAGCATCAACCTCCAGCCGTGACCACTCCTTCAATTTGGTGTCATCCACAAACTTTCTCAGCCCATCTAGGCCCAGTCCTGGACCCACATACAAGCTGCTCCTGCCTTCTTGTCTTCCCTGCCTACCTTTCCACTGCATTTATGTCCCCACCTCTCCCTTCCCAGAGCAGGTTATTGGGATGCAGTTCAGTAGCTCAGCACTGAAAACTGCCAGCAATTTTGATTCCATAGCCCCCAGGGAAGCGAACCAGCTTTCCAGGGACTTTCTCTGATTGAACCTTTGACTTTTCTAAGGGCACTGTGATTGATGCAACAGGGTTCTAACAGGTTTGGCCAGTCAGGAGCAATACTCAAAAAACACCATGAACAAATGGACTGATTTTCATTGTTACATAGACTATGAGCAGGGTAAAGACACCACCAGAGGAGCAAAAGAAAGAACAGGAAAAGACTGATATTTACACCATCTTTAAGTACACACAGACAGGGCAGACCAACAGTTTTATAACAGAAAACTAATGAGCTATGCAGACCTGAAATTCTCACTGTCACTTCTAGAACTAGGAGGCTGCTGTGGTTCTGTCAGAAAGGATTTCTTCTGCGATTGTGGGGTTTTTTTCCCCTCAGCCTTACTCCCACTTTTACAAGTATTTCTATCTTAATAAATTAAAAGACCCTTGGATGAAAAATCCATAGCACTCTAGTACAGGCTGACAGGCATTACGTCCATTCTAAGAAAAGGAGGAATGGAATCAGATACATATGATGGATCTGATTATTCTAGGTATAAACTCAAATAAACCCATTGCTGTTTGAGATTGCAAGATCTTTAAGGGGAGTATGAAACACTTAGACTCGCTCATTTGTCCCCAAAAAGGCAACTGTACCCAAGTTTATGCTCTAGTGGTCTTGCAATGCACATCACACACAAGTTTTCTGCAGTTACCAACTCATTACATTGGTCCTCCAATTGCCCACAGCTCCCCTGACTGCTCCTTTTGGCTAAGGGACAGGCTTACCTAAAGAAATGTGTTCCACAGTCCTTAACTGAAAAAGGTTCCAAAGAGGATTCTCATGCATTAAAACATGGAATCATAGAATTGAATCACAGAATAATTAAGGTTGGAAAAGACCTCTAAGATCCTCGAGTCTAATCATTAACATAGCACCACTGTGTTCACCACAAAACCATGTCCCCAAGTGCCACATCCACATGAGCACTTCCATGGATGGTGATTTCACCATCCCCCTAGGCAGTCTGTTCCAATGCCTGACCACCCTTTCAGTGAATAATTTTCCCTAATATCCAATCTAAACCTCCCCTGGCACAACTTAAGCCCATTTCTTCTTGTCCTATTGCTTGTTAGTCAGGAGGAGAGACCAACCCCTACCTGTCTACAACCTCCTTTCAGGCAGCTGTAGAGAGCAATAAAGTCCCACCTGAGCTTCCTTTACTCCAGGCTAAACACCCTCAATTCCTTCAGCTGCTCCTCATCAGACTTGTGCTCCAGCCTCTTCCTGAGCTCCACTGCCCTTCTCTGGACATACTCTGGCATTTCAATGTGTGTCTTGTCATGAGGTGGCCAAAACTGACTCCAGGACTCGAGGTGTCTCACCAGTGCCCAGTACAGAGGGACAGTCACTGCCCTAGTCCTGCTGGCCACACTATTGCTGGTACAAGTCAGGATGCTCCTGGCCTTCTTGGCCACTTGAGCACACTGCTGCTCATGTTCAGCCACTGTCAAACAATATACACTCATTGCACTTAGACTGAAGTAAAAATAAAATATATACATGTGTGTGTATATATATATGTCTGCATGTGTATATACACATATACATATATATACACACACATATATTCCAAAAGCTAAACTATTGTCTTTTCCAAGAACTTCACCTCACCTCCTGTACAGTTCCTGCTCTGCAGCAGAGTCACTTGCTGTTGGTGGCTGGATTCCTAGAAAGAAGAATAGCAACCTGTGACAACTGCAGTACAAAACAGAGTCCTTCATCACATCGTAAGTTATTTGAGGATAATTCCATATGCCAGTGTTATCCCATCAAGAAGGAAAAAAAATAAACAAGAAAATTGAAGTTTGATGGATAGAGTTTGAATTCATGAAACAAAGAGACACTGACAGCATCATCTTCAACCAGGCACACTAAACAAAGCACACTACAGAAACTTCTAGGTAAGGGTGTTAACTCCTCAAACCCTGACATATATACCGAAATATAAGCATGGTTTTACACCTACTTTCCATTTCCTTCCTCCAGTTCCATTAAGTCTTCCCCTTGACCTTCTGCTTTCCTTGTAATTACAAGAGATCCCACATGTGGAGATTAAATTATCTGATGGAGTTCAGGCCATCCATAAGGCTAAATCTACACTCAGGAAAGGCACAGGCTGACAGCAAACAGATCTCTTAAAGCAAGGGTCTGGGGTTCCCTACCTTCATGTTAGTCTGGATGCCTTAAACAAATCCACACTGCTAATATATATCAACACAGCGTATTTGAGAATCAAGAGAAATCAAATAGTATTCTGACCTGTAAAGAAAGACAATTTCAGAAACCAAGTTCTCATCATCCACTTAGCCACAGACTGCCCTCTCCTATGAGCTCCTTTCAAGGAATAAAGAGCAGCATTTCCCCCAGCCATCCACAATATATTCCTGGTATATGCAAAGGAGACAACGAGGCAGCTTACCAGGAATGAAAGAGAAAAAATTCTGCCTGGCTTATTGCATATTTATCTGAAATCCTAGAAATGTCCACAAAGTAACATAGCTAATCTCATAACACAGTAGTGTTGAAAAATACAGGCATACCCTATCACATCCAGTGGCAGCACTACTGAGAGGTGTGTCAAAACAGCCAGCAGACCTGACAGGGACTGATAGTACCTGTAGGAGATTTGGGTTTCCCTCCTGCAGCTGAAGATGGAGCTGTGCCATTGGATGCACGAGGAGATCTCTGGTTGCTCCTCTTGCTTTGAGAGGATTCTTTCATTCGGTTCACTACATCTTCAGTGAGCTGAAAGGCCAGTAAGCAGGAAAGGCATTAACCACCTCTTGGTGTATATTTCACTGTAAACACTGCCTATTTGTTAGTTTCCACACTACTACAAAACACTGCAATGCTACAGTCCTTCCAATCCATTTAGTCAACATAGAATCATGGAGTCTTAGGGGTTGGAATGGACCTTATAAATCATTTTGTCCCAATCCCCTCCCATGGGCACAGACATGTCCCCACTAGACCAGGTTGCTCAAGGCTCCATCCAAACTGGCTTTGAACTCTGCCAGGGTTGGAGCTTCTAGTACCATCCTCGGCAACCTGTTCCAGTGTCCTCACCACCCTCACAGGAAAACAGTTTTTGCTAATATCTAACCTAAATTTCCTGTTTCAATTGGTACCCATTGCCCCTTGTCCTGTCACCGCATTTCCTAACAAAGAGTCTCCCTCTAACTTCCCTGCAGCCCCTTCAGATACTGATAGGTTGCTACGAGGTCTCCACACCACCTTCTCTTCTCCAGGCTGAACAGCCCCAACTTCCTCAGCCTGTCAACATCTGTTTGCTGACTTTGAGTTTTAAAAAACATACCCTGCCAGTAACTGGTAAAACTTCGAATCTACTGACTGGCCCTAAAGCCTTCACCAGACAATTATTGTCTAGTGAAGGCTTTGTCTATCTATCCTATTAGGTTAGACAGACAAAGGCTATCAAAGGTGGAGAGCAGCACTAAACAAACCAACCCTTTGTGTAGGGATATATTGACCAGAAGTGGAAGGTTTTGAGTCCATCTATCCACCTTTCTTCTTCTTCCCCCATGCTTGCTAACCTAGCTCAGCATGGTAGAAGTACTGCAAACCATATGGCAGAGAACAGCCACACAGCCCTTCCACTCACATAAGGCTACAAACATTTTTGCAATCTCAACTTCATTCTCACTCCCAGACATGGGTTCAAACTCATGAAAAAGAAAGAAAAGTTAATTTGATGTTTTCTGGCAATTCAGTCCAAAGGGCTGCTCACAGCACTGTGAATATTCACCCCTTCCCTCCTCCCAAGGTCAGAGGCTCTGTCTCCAGAACAAAACGAAGATGTTTTGTTACCTAGGCTGGTCACAGTAGAAGACGTATTTTTCAGCTATGCCACTGCTACTCAGCTTAACAGCATTTTTAACATCTCCACTATACATTGCTATCATGCCCAATTCCTGTTTTCAAAGACAAAAGTCTTTGCCTATATCCTATCAAGAAAACCAACTCCTTAATGATAGCATCACCACTCTTCAGAGCTTCTTTCCACAACTCATACGTATCCATCTCTGAACACAGTTCAAGCAGCAGCTCCCCCTGTCCCTCCTAAAACACCCCTCACTATTCCCCCAGTCTCTCATCTCCCAGCCTGAGTCTCTCATCTCCCAGCCTGCTCAGACGGCAGTGCTTCACCAAGGTTCTTGCTACCATTCACAAGGGCAGAGCTGTCTCCTCTTGGATGCCCTCAGAGCCAGGCAGTGCCTTTAGCATCAAACCCCTTGCAAAGCACAGGCAGGGGCAAAACAGGGTCATTCAGCAGTGAGGACCCAGAGTCGAGACCAGAGTTCGGAAGGCGTAAAGGGCTGGTGTGCCTTCACTCAAAAGCCACGCCCAGACCC